CCAAACCCTACTGTTCCAACCTATGCCCAAGCTACTGACTGAGCCCAATGTTCACTAATCAGGACAATTGGTTTTAGAGGGGGGTGATGTTACAATTCTCTACTCTCTTACCTTTAGTTCTGAGGGTTCTGCACCCTTCTGTACTGGAACTCAGGACTTCTGTCCCTCAGAGGCACTGTCTATGGACTATATGTGTGCTGACTCTTACCACTACCCTTCCTTACTTCATCATTCCATTCCTTTGACCACTCCTTCATTCTCTGTTCATTCTATGGTCTCTTACCCTTTGTCCATCCCTTCATTCTTTGTACCTTTATCTTTGACATTCCTTTCTTTCATTCTTCATAGCTTATCATTCTTAGTGGCTCATGCTCCCTGAGTACTCTTGTGTAGTTTAGTATATATAGGTGTACAAGATCAGACTGGTCCTGTAGTCTTGATCTTGTCTACTCCAGGTAGTCCTGTACTCTTAGGCTCACTCTATATACTCTACTCTTGTCTCACTCTCTCTCTCCACCTGTTCCATGAGTTCTGACTACGTTCCAGTGCTTGCATTCTGTATTTCTGTTGTGTAGGATAGTTGTAGCCTGGGTCCCCTTGCTGAGCCTTTGGGTCCCCTCTATGCTGTTGCTGACAGGATGGAAGTCCTGAGTTCTAGTACAGAAGGGTATAGAATCCTTAGAACTAAGGGTACAAGAGTAGAGAACTATAACACTAATTCATCTAAGAACACTAGAGACACTTAGGAAAACCTTATTGAGAATATTCTATCTTAGAGTCAAATGTAGACATGCACAAATATTAAGGTAGACAATATTGTCCTTAAAGCTTACAAACTTACACTCTGAAAGTAACATTTTATTTGTTTCTCTAAAATAAAGTAATAGCACAGTTATATATTTTTAAAACAACTGTGGTAGTATGTCCCTAAGTACTATATTAGTAAGATCTCATACAGCTCAAGTTCATTCCTCTGCTGTAACTCCAGTGTATTGTGCAACCTCTTCATCTGTAAATATACTCTGACTGTATGTGTCCTAGTCACATATGAGCAAGATAGCTTCACAGAATTTGTCATGTGCATTTTTCAATTGTGTCTTCTGGTACCTTTTCCTTCCTTTAATTTGTGTCTTGAGCGTTTTGTCTTCTACACTCTTATCTCCCTTTACATTACTTTCAAGGAACTCGATTTCACCCTTTAGGTCACTAAGTGTTTTGCTAAGATCAGACGTTGCAGTCGAAAATATTCTTCTCTTTTTCTCGGCATCATTGTGAATCATCTTTGGCAAGACATAGGCCAAGTTTTGAATAACAATTGATTCTTCCTAGGTCATTTCATAATTAAGAGGTTTATTGTTCTCTTTGCCCTTAGTACTACCATCTGTTGTTCTTGACCGAGATTTGTGGTTTGAGTAGTGTGACATGTTTGTAGTCTGTGTTTCCCTCTAGCAGGTACAAGCAATGTAGAGCACAGTCTAGGTGAGTGGCAGGATATCCGAGAAACTCTTGTCTCCTTAAATGCTGGGGCAAGATGGGGATATTTGCACTCGGTACAAATGCATATGTGGCATAGTGCTAATGATTCATGATACTATCAAAAATAATGAATTGTTGCAAAGCATATCAAATATAGAAAAATCAGGCTAGTATGATACAAACACACCTTTCTTCTGTGAGTTAGTATAATCACTAGTACTTCTCAAAGACAGTGCCACACCAAATCGTCCTTGTATTAAACCGGATAATATTTCTGGTGTCCTTGATAAGGAAAACTCAACTTTGTCATTTAGACATATCCGAGCCTATATTGACCAGAAGCAGACAAGCACAGGTACATTGACTACATAAACCAGAAGTACACAGAAGGAAAAGGTTGAATAAACATATATAGATGTTTGCAGTTCTATACTCCAACCTGCTTTACAGTCCAACTCGAGTGAATAAGTAAATAGATTCTCCTAATACATGCTCACATTACAAATAACTAATAACGAAAGAACGAAAGAAAAAGTACTTTAAACACCTGCTTCTAACTACGCCTTTACAGAACCTGACGTGCACTCGTCTTAATACACGCTCAGATCACATGTAATTTGTAACTCACAAAAAAGAACAAAAGAAACAAAAATACGTTAAGAACAACACTAAAGACAAATAATCACAACAATAGGTAAACATCAACGAAGAAGAAACACCAACACTGTAAAAAAAAACTAGAGACACAAAGAAAATGAAGGGGAAAAAAGTGAATATATATAAGAAAACAAAACAAGGGAAGAGGAAATGGAACTACATCCACAGACAGAAAGAACCGCAAAGCGTCGCTTTCAAAAATAAGCAAGCATATACACAGGATCAAATAAACAACAACGAAGCAACTACTGTATTCCCCAAACCTAAAGCTATGCGTGATTGCTGATTGCTGCTCCTTAACACGTTTCTTCTTGAAAGTCCGTAAATCAAAGCGAGTCGACCAGACCAAAACACCGTTTCGAAGAACCATGGATGGACATAAGTAATAACCGCCTGCTTCTGGTTACGATTACGCAGTAGCAGCGCTCGGCGTACAGATCCTCTGCCCACACGGTCCCTCCGCTTTCATCATAGCAGGAGGCGGTACGTCAGAACATGTCGCCAGCTTCTCAAATATCTAATCCCCATCCGCAATTCAGTCAGTACTGTCCTTCCCACCTCCTTAAAAAAAGTAAGAAATGACCTTGTAATAACACTCCGGCTTCTGGCACCCACTAACCGCCCACCGTCCATCAATAACGGTAAACGGTACACCAGCAACACCCTTCCTCGCTGCATCAGCCGTCAAACTCCTCACTTCCTTCTCCAATTCCGCCCCCTCTATCCACTCAACCGCTTCTTCCTCGCTGTCGAAGATCGCGGCACTCTCGTCGTCTGCGTGTGGGTCGAACTCTCCTTCGTCGTTCTCCGTACGCGTTAGCGTGATTTCCGGAGAAGAGTTGCCGTTTTGACTAAGCGGAGTGAAAGGGTAGACTTGCGAAGACGTCAACTTCGCTAACGTAGTGAGGTCCCCAACGTCCTTCTCGTCTTCGAAGAAGGCACGGAAGAAGCGCCGGATGAGTGCACCCTGCGCACGCTGCCCACCGTGCAGGTAGGCTCTTTGCAAAAGACGGTGTGCACGGAGTGAGTGACTAATGTTCCCGCCGAAGGAGCTAGAGGGACGGAAAGTCGGTATGAGTAAGCAGTCACAATCATAACAGACGGATTCATAATGCGAAGCCCAGCCCGAGATGTATGAGTGAGCAGCAGTGCCGTTGCTCACACATGCATCCAAGAATTAGTAGCTTCCGGCGGTGGGTCAGCCACATGGAGAAGGTGTTCAGGTAATGCACCTCGGTGGATGGTGGTATCCGTGAGAAGCGCTCCCAGTCGACCGATCTCCTCGAGCGATCCGCCCGAAGATCCGTCGCGGTGGCGAAGGTAAACGGTCCCGAATGGAATGGAAACGCATACAGCAAGCACAGAGAAGCACAGAAACAGAAAAGCAGAGAAAAAACAGACGCTCACAAGTCAAGCCCATCCTCCTTCGCCCTCATCTTCACCAACCCCAACCTCTCCTGGGCCTTCTCAATCGACCCAAACTTGACTTGGTAAAACTGTTCCTTATTGACAGGCCTATCCTCCGGGAGGTTCGGGAATAGGATGAACGGGTGGTACTTGACTGCAAAGTCTACAGGTAGACCGCGAGACCTTGCAAGCGCCATGCCACGCTCGAGTTCGATATGTCCGATGTAGCACCATGCGCATACCTATTGAATAGACGCATATAGGTTAGTAGGAGTAGGGAGAAGTATATAGTCTGGGGTGGGTGGACGCACGAAATCTGAGACAACATCAATTTTTATGGTCTTGGGCGCAGCCATCCTTGTGTGAATGGAGGCCAGAGATATGTGGGAGGAATCAAACACAGGGTTTCACAGACACTGTTTCTGAACGATGCTCTTCTTTGCAGTAAAAGTTGATTCGCGTTGATTGATACAAAGAGGATGGTTCCGACGACGGAGAAGTGGAGGCTGCAAGAGGCAGAAGAGCGCGAGGAAGAGGAGCGAATGAGGAGGATTGTGATATATAATACTGGAATGGAATGAGAAGGGGACCGAGGACGTGCACAGTCAGCAGCGCGTATGCCAGGGCAGAGACAACACCGCTTAGTCAACCTTGCTGTCACTGCATCCCGGCAATTCTTTCGGCTCCTACCTACTAAATGCTATCAATTCCTCTCCCCATATTTGTCGATTTTTTCACGTAAAATAATGACTTGTAATCGTCCCTGTACTCCTCCCAGAGATGCCACTCGACTCATAGCGCGGAATTTCCTCGACGGTATGCGGCGGAAATAGAAAGCCGTCCTCCGACGGCAACCTTCGTCTTACGGTTAACTCCCTAAAGTAGACCGGTGCATCATAGCCCCGAGGTATCACCACATACCCTCTACTTAATAATACCGAGAGCGTTATTGGGTAGAAACCTCCCACCACAGAACTGAATTGATTAACTTTTCTGAGTTTTCGAATTTCAACAACAATCACAAATGTGACGCCATCTGGATGACGTAACCCGATCAATGGCGTATTGCCACAGACCTCATGATTTCCCAACTTCGACGGTTCTGGATGGACGAATGCTGTTGCGTTTAGCCTCCACTAGAGCTCGGTGTAATTTCGTTCATCGCTCTTCTTTTACAGGCTCATTGAGGAGTGTAAGCGGAAGCAAGATGTCGCAGCAGCCTAAAATACTCAAAGCTCGCGAACTCCCTGCGTCGGAAGCAAAGTAACCCAATCCATCCCTACTTTCAGTAAACCAAGTTCGTAAAATTGATCATGATTATATCTCGTGCATTCTAGGTGGATCACATTGAAAGAACTAGAATGGCAAGATCAAGATGGCAAGAAAGTAAGTTGCGTAAACTTATCTTACGCTCACAATCCATTTGCTTACTCTTTCGATCATCCTTCACGCTTCCACAGAGAAAATGGGAATGTGCTGAACGAAAGACTCGCGGGTCATCTGGCATTGACGGTAAGTCAACAAATTCACTTCCTTATTCATATCATTTATCGAGGCTTTCGTTGATACATATTGTTTAATAGCCGTTGCAATACTCGCAATAATCAAATCCACCAATCACTCTTTCCCACCGTCCACGGTCATCATCGAACAATTCCGTCCACCAATCGGGAACTTCGTAGTCGGTACGTCTTTTGCGTCTTCGGACTTAACTCACCTCCCTTATGGCATTCTTCTTACGGTCTTTGGCTTCTTATTATTGTACCTTTGTACCTTCGCAGAACTGCCTGCTGGTAAATCAATTCTCCGTGCCATCCGATTAGAGAAAAAGTTTACTTACTTATCTGATGCGATAGGTCTAATCGACGAAGGCGAAACACCCGAACAGACAGCCATCCGAGAACTCGAAGAAGAAACAGGTTTCAAAGCTGACGGTGTCATCGAATCGTCTCCAGTCGTCGTTAACGATCCTGGTACGAATTACCTACCCACATCCTCACACACTGTGCCTCAATTAATGTGATCCCGATGCATGTAGGGATGACGACAGCGAATATGAAACTTATCATCCTCAGCGTAACCTTCCCCGATAAACTCGAGCTGAGCGACGCCAAGCTAGATGAAGGCGAACATATCACGAAACGCGTTGTCGAACTGTCAAAGTTATCTGATGAACTGCATCGTACGCACGCCTATACCTCCTTATCTATAAATATATGATCGTATAACCTGACGACCTTGTAATGCAGATTACGCTGAAAAGGTGAAGAGTTCTCCTTTTATGACTGATGTCAGACCAACACCATGACCTTCAGAACTGAGCATGACTTTCTTGAATAGGGATTCGCTGTCGACGCAAGGTTATCCCACTTTGCTTCCGGTCTCCGCCTTGCCAACAAACTGTAAATCACGACGATTGAAACATCTCGTTTCCATCAGAAAGTGTCACAGGATGATATTCAGAGAGACTTGGGTTCTAACAGTTTTGTTACTGTAGAGTATATCACGTTTCGTATAGCACTCAGAATAAATGTATTAATTTCTGCCTTCGTACGTTCACTTTTTGTGAAGAATTGACGTCCACGTTGAGGACAGGCATTCTTATTAGGACAGCAATCAAGCTGCAACTACCTACCCCTTACACCATAATTGTAGCTTCTACAAGTGCATCCTCCCACACACATACTTGTGTCACCTAGGGCATTCACGACTAGATCCATCCCCTTCAGTACAGCTAACATCAGACTACTCGGATCCATCTGATTGATCCTACACTACCAGAATACCCTGCCCATCAAATTGTATCCACTATGAACAGATTTCTATCTCAGCATCCTTGTGTTGCTACCAACACGTGTACCTCTGTCAACTTTGCAAGATAGATGTCTGATCATAACAAAATTGGGAACTACATTTTCACCAGCATGCATACATTGCATGCTAAAATGAATGAAAGACAGTATTTGTATGTGCTTAATGAAAGTACAAGTTTTAATGAAGGCTTGAGAATTCCAGAAACAAGTACAGTTGAATGCACATTCTCTATTATACCTTTGTACCTTGTTACTACTCTTCTCAAGTTGGATAGTTTAATAGACAGTCTGTGCAACATACATTACCTATATACCTTATACATTTGATGTGAATTTGTGACTACTTCCTTTACATCTATCTTCAAAGATATTAGATTCTGATAAAATTCATTTAGGGTTGTTTTTGACACAGTCTCTAAGAGTATCAGTGTGTACAAGGCTAGCTCTATCAGCCTTCAGCCTTCTTTGATTTGGGCCTTGTTGTAAAGATTTACTACACAGTGATCATTTTCTGTACAACTTAGTAACTTGATAGAGATAGGTATGTATTAGATAGACCAATCATTACAACAAAATTTTGCTAAGGTAGAATCATGTATCATGATTGCAATATTAACAGGAAAGATATAGGGCCACCTTCTTCACCCACTTTACACTCACACTCATCTGTACTTTCTCCTGGACCTGTAGCACCTAGCAGACTCATACAAGCTACTTTCAATATGAATCTCTTGACTTGCTCTACTACTGAACTAATTGACTCTAGTGTAGTTCCAGAATGGGTTTTCAAGAAGTTTATATTTTAGTACTTTCAATTAGTAACAGTAACTGTATTAGTCTATAATGCAAGTAAGTTAAAATAACAGCTAGTTGTAATATTACTAAAATTACTAAACTTTACAAAGCTATTATAATAGATAAGGAGGTAAGTCCTGAAATCTCACATTTTCTAACACAAAGAATGATGGCTTCCTTTTAGATAAAATATTTCTGGGTATACATTATAATGTTAGTCTTATTAACTATTAACTGTATGAACATTATGTATGGAAGAGGACTCCTGTGAAACTTATCAATATTATCTACTTCTTAGTAAGTGAATTAGTACTCTAGACTTAACAGAGTCTTATAAACTTTCTTCAAGAACTAGTACATTAGTGTCATTAGTACTATAGTGTATCTTATTTGTATGTTAAAATTAGAACACTACTACTTGCAAGTTGTAACACACTTTACAAAAACTTTTTAAGGGAATTCATACAGGGTAAACATTGTAGAGTGAGTTCCCTCTTTATTCAGTGTATGTATACAAAACTGAATAAGGCTAGATGTAAGCTTGGTATACTTCCACTCAGGCCAACTTGTACTGATTATTTATAGGCAACTTTTCTGCCTGGACTCAAAATCTTGCTAGTGTGTTAAATTTTATTTATTTAACATATAAGCCTGCTAATAGACAAGAAAGAGTAGTGTACAGTCATATTTATCAATTGTTTGTGGTGAATACTGAAAGACATACAGAAGTACATAACTGATTGTTTCTGAAGACATTCTAATAGTTTGAGTCCTTGTACTTTACTCTTAAGGTATACAATATGAGTAATCCTAATGTTGTACTTACACTGTTAAAAGATAAGAAGTTATTACTGTATCTGAAAGTGTTTTTTGGTTTCAAAACCTGTTTCAAGGTAGTAACAATAATATACATTTTGTTGTCTGAGAAAGGTAAGTTGTCACCTACATAAAATCTTTCAAGCTTACCCTGGATTAGTTGTACTTGAATCTTTTCTGAATGGTGTCACTGTTTGTAGAACAGATAGGGTTACACTTTGGCAGTTAGGAGTAGTTGATTAGTACATTATCTTAACTATTTGGAGATGGCCACTTACATAATTTGGATAGGATACTTCTAATAGTGTATGGTCTGATACTTATAGTACTAGCAATCTACAAGGCTGTAGAGTACTAGAAAATGTTAGCTGGCTTTAAGGGATTTGTACTTGTGAAAGTTCTCATTCATGACCAGATCATCTACTTTCCATTGTAAGTTGAGCAAGTTGCTCAATACTATGGAACTAACATGTCTACTCAGTCTGATATTATGTTCTGTATTAAATGTACTGAGCTACAGGATATGTGAGTCACTTCCATTTGTAGAGGCTCTTGTTAACAGCTTAGTAAGCCTATTATTCCTCTCTGCTCTTGGCAGCCAGATGTTGTTCAATCTAAAGGAAGCAGGAGAGTTTGGAGTTAATGAGGGAACAAACTACAGAATCAAATTAATGAGTGACATTGAGTTTGCTGCTAGAGGACCTAATGAAGGTAAGTTTGTCTTTATTCAACTTATATATTCTACAACTAATGGATGCATTTCTAAAAAGCACACAAGATGGAGACAGTGAGTGGCCAGGAAGACTGATATATGTTTCTTCATTATAGTCTAGGGCAGAGAGGCTGTTGTAGAGTTGTGTTTGCTGTCCTGTACATATGTTCTACAGTGTGATCAGTTTGAAATGAGGAAAGCAAATTCCTTAGAATTGTGACAATGCAGTAATCTTTCAAGGAACTGAGATACATGCTAAGGAGACCTAACAACGGTTGCATCTTTGAAAGTAAATGAAAGAGTTATCAGAGAAGACATTGCCAAGCTTGACAATGGTAAGACACAAAGTAAGAACGTGTAATCCTTTACAGGGGCAGAATTAAATTTTGAACTGTGTATCACTGCTTGAGCTGAGAAACTATCATATTATGATCAATTGTTGCATTGCAAGCATCATCCATGTACTAGAGAATTTCACATGTAATACTACTCTTTTTGTGTGTAATAGTGTATCTATAGTTGCTGATGTCCGGTCCCGGACTGCTCGGACTCGGTCTGGACGCAGGACTGGACTGATGGACTGGTCCTCTGCAGTCCGGTCCTCATGGGTCCAGGAGAGGTCCGGTCCTGGGTCCATCATTTTGAGAAATTTCCCAGACTGATGGACTTGTCCGGACCCAGACTGGACTCTGGACCTGAATAACCTGAACTAATGTCTCAAATCTTGTTTCCCATATCTCTAGCTCACTATACTAAAACAGATCATACTCCTTTAAGGATCTTTGAATATTAGCTAGCACTTACATAGTACATTTTACAAGTTTCTGGCAGTCCAAGCAAAGCAAAACTTTACTCCTGTTCTTTACTGTTCAATGTATGGCTTACTAAACTTGACTCTTCCTATCTGGTTATTGTCTCCTGAAATATTTATTCCCTTTATGTGTATTTCTTTCCCATTTCCTATTTTCACCCTCTTTTTAGTCTGCTAAGCCACACTTCTCTCTCTCTCTTCCATATTCACTCCTCTCCCATCCTATGCCAAAGACACCACAGTCCCAGCTGCCCTCCCCAGTCAAGCAGCCAGCCAATGCCAATGCCCCCGACAAATTAGACAAGATGTCCAAAATTGCTCTCAGAAAGAAGAAGAACGCCGACGCTCAGGCTGCTTTCCGTGCACGCCGTGCCAACTATATTGCCACCCTCGAAGAGACAGGTCTGTCTGCTGTTAAGTACCTAAATATTCATGTTCCGACGACTAAGTGTCCGTAAATCGCAGTAACCAGCTTAGAGGCAGTTGTAGTCCAGCTTCAGGACTCGTGTCGCAAGGCTCGCACCGAAGCCTCAGAATTGTGTCAGGAAAACCACTACAGTGTCTAGTCTGTAGATTATGTAGTACATACAAAAATATATTACTTTTGTACTTAGATACAAAGAATAATACTCTAACTCATCTCTTAAATTTTTTTTCTCTCAGGTCCAGTTATGGACTGGTCCAGAACCGGACTGGAACTTGGGTCCGGTCCACTACCCGTCCACATACAGGTATGTAGCAAAAGTCTTCATCATTCCTTAAAAGGTAGATGTATTTGTAAGTGATTTGCATGCCATACATAGAAATTAGATGTAGATCAATGCTTTGATCGACACATTGTGAAGTACAAACAAATACAGAATTTTGCATTAATTTCACAAAATGGCTTGTATTTTCATGTTTTTTTGTGTGTATAATGTGTTCATGTATGCTAGAAATGTAAGACAAAGGTTTGATGTGTCTCTTACAGCCTTATAAGTCAACGCAAATCACTTACAGATACACTTACCTTTTGAGGAATGACGAAGACTTTTGCTACATACCTGTAGGTCCGGTCCCCAGTCCGGGACACTCCCGGACCGCAGATTTGGTCCGGTCCTGAGTCCAGGTGAAGTATGCCCGGACCGGACCAGGACCGGACTTCAGCAACTATAAGTGTATCCTGTCTAGTCATCATTTACCCGAGCTGCACAGTATTGGTTGCGGAGAACTTGGTGCGGGAGATGCAGCGTGTCTTAACCAGAGCGCCTTGTTGTATTGGAGGACCTTGCTGCGTAGAGGGGAAACGATTTTCGCAACGGCTGTATTATGCATGTTCGCTGTCGTGGACAGAGAAGTATGAGATCACGTCGATCATCTCAGTACGGCCTGTCCTGTTTCTGACGCCTGCAAAGATTCTACTCGTCTCTGTCGACCCGGAGCGCTTCTCACGGATACCGCCATGCACCAGGTCCACCTCGCCGACGTGGGCTGACCCGTCGTCGGAAGCTACTAATTTTCGGATGCATGAGTGAGTAGCAGTGTGGCTGCTTACTGAGTCTCGCCTCGGTTTATTGCGAACGAGCCTGCCCACTGTCTAGGCTCCGCATTATGAATCTGTCTGTCTGCTGTGATTGAGACTGCTTACTCATGTCCGCTTCTGTCTGTCTGTCTGTCTGTCTGTCTGTCTGTCTGTCGTCTTTGGCGGGAACATTACTCACTCTCTCTACGTCTCTTGCAAAGCCTACTTGAACGGTGAGCAGCGTGCGCAGGCTGCACGCATCCGGCGTTTCTTCCGTACCTTTTTCGAAGACGAGCGGGACATTGGTTTAGTGTGCTAGCTAAACTCAGGTCTTCTCAAGTCCACCCTTTCACTCTGCTTAGATAAAATGGCAACTCTTCTCTGGAAATCACGGTAACTCGTACAGAGAACAACGAAGGAGAGTTCGACCCACATGCAGACGACGAGAGTGTGGAGATATTCGACAGTGATGAGGAAGCGATTGAGTGGATACAGGGGGCGGAATTGGAGAAGGAAGTGAGGTGTTTGACGGCTAATGCGGCGAGGAAGGGTGTTGCTGGTGTACCGTTTACCGTTATTGATGGACGATGGGCGGTTAGTGGGTGTCAGAAGCCGGAGTGTTATTATAAGGTCAGCCTGTCCTCTTTACTGGTTTTATGCTGATTGAATTGGGGGAGTTAGATATTTGAGAAGCTGGCGACGTGTTCTGACGTACCGCCTCCTGCTATGATGAAAGCGGAGGGACCATGTGGGCAGAGGATCTGTACGCCGAGTGCTGCTACTGCGTAATTCGTAATTCAGGTTAGAGCCCAGCGGCTATTGCTTGTGTCCATCCATGGTTCGAAATAGCGTTTTGGTCTGGTCGACTCGCTTTGATTTACGGACTTTCAAGAAGAAACGTATTAAGGAGTAGCAATCAGCAATCACGCATAGCTTTAGGTTTGAGGAATACAGTAGTTGCTTCGTTATTATTTATTTGATCCTGTGTATATGCTTGCTGATTTTTGAAGAAAGCAACGCTTTGCGGTTCTGTCTGTCTGTGGATGTAGTTCCATTTCCTCTTCCCTTGTATTGTTTTCTTATATTTATTCACTTTTTCCCCCTTCATTTTCTTTCTGTCTCTAGTTTTTTTCCTACAGTGTTAGTGTTCCTTCTTCGTTGATGTTTACCTATTGTTGTGATTGTTTGTCTTTAGTGTTGTTCTTAACATATTATGTTTCTTTTGTTCTTTTTTGTAAGTTACAAACTGTATGTGATCTGAGTATGTATTAAGGTGAGTCAAGTGTTTACTCTCTCACTCTAGTTTTATCTGAAAGGTGTGTCACAGTATACTAGCTATTATGAGGTTGCTACAGAAGCTTCTCTTATTGTATATGTACTTGTGTTATAGAGGCCTGTAATATGGTCTTCTTGTTACCAAAAAGTATAGGATAGACATTATAGATTGTGTACATAATATTCTTCTAAGCCAGTCTATATACATATCTGCTAATATTTGTGGATCAACAAAGACAACATTATGGTCTATATTGTACAAAGTACAGAGTACACTGAGACCATACTCTTAAAGAGTATTGACAAAATATACTAGCTTGCTGGAGAAACCTGTATTTCTAGCATACTAGCCTGACTTCTAAGACACATTGGATTTATTTGATGGCTTACACAGTATTTGGTGAAATCAATTATGTTTGATGTAATTAATCACTTTTTAGTTCTACGCCACATGCACATATAAGCAATACAAAGTTCTGTAATATATATAACATTAAAGGAGGTAAAGGATATCTAACTCTGATTTTATCCTACCTACACTACCTGAGCTTATCTTTTAAACACTGACAGAAGCATGTCACACCATACCAAAACACCAAGTGTTAGTAACACAACAGAGTCAGAGCATAGTAGTGACAAAGCCCTTGATTATTCATTGACCAGGCAAGAGAACACAGTCTTAGCAAATTTGGGCCTTGTCTTAGCAAAGCTTGATAATGCTGAGAGCAAGAAACAAACAGTAAAGGAGGCAGAAGCAGAGTTGAGAACAACACTTGGGGATCTAAGTAGTAATGGTCTGAGCAAGGATATCTCAATGCTTGAAGGTACATTGTCTGCATTTGCAGGCCCAGAAAAGCAAGAACGCAAAATTAATATAGTAGGCAAGAAAAGATGTCAAAAGACAAATATACGAGAGGCTCATAAGGCATTTCGTGATAAGATCTCTATTGTGGCTGATTACAGTCATTATAGTAGGAAAATGTTTTCAGATGAGGAGGTCGAAAAACTCGTTAAGGTGCTATCAGGGAACAAGCAAACTGACTGAGAACTTTATGTACTCTATACATATATTATCAGCCTCTATAAAGTTGTAGAACATGTTATTTCTTTCGTTTGAGACTATAAAGGAACAAATGAGATGGGTTGTGATATATAATGCAAGAATGTGAGAGAGGACGTGCACGGTAAGCAGCGCATATGCCAGAGCAGAGACAAACATCGCTTAGTCATCTCCACCCTCACTGCATCCTGGCAATTCTTTCGGCTCCTCTTTCTCCTCCTCCTCCTCCTCCTCCTCCTCCTCCTCCTCCTCCTCCTCCTCCCCCTAAATGCTATCAAATACTCTCCCTATATTCGTCTATTTTTACACAGTATTAAAGAATGTAATCGTCCCTGTACTCCTCCTAGAGGTGCCTAGTGCTCTGTGCATACTGTAAATGCTTATGTGTGTAATTTTTCTGGAGTATACACTTACAGGTGTAAAGTTACAAGCATAAATTGACTAGAAATGTCTCTTTACAATACGCTGAGGCTGTAAACAGTGTATACAGCATATACACTATGTATATTTTAAAGTTATCTGTTTAAGACAGCTGTTACTGTATTATGGTATTAATAGAGAAACATAGATAGGTAAGACAAGTATAAAAGATTGTATGTACTAATCAAATGAATGTAAACTAGATATATTAAACTTGTCACTGTTACTTTTCTGCCTTCAACACTTGCTTAACAACCATAAGGTCACTAATTGTTCCAGGCTTAAGACTAGAACAGTGAAATGCAATTGTATTGTGTCCAGCTGAGAAAATACACTCAATAGCAACAGCAGAACCGTGCACGATAGATTACCTTAAGATGTCCTGCTTGTGCTAGTCAATGCTAGTGTCAGCTACCCACTACATCTTGATTTACATACTATCAGAAATGCCACATAGTCCTTCTTTGTAACAACTAGTCATTATACTAATCAGTGGTGAACAAATCATGTAACAGGATCAAGAAAATTTAAAGGCATAGTCTGTATTCCAGAAAAATGTCATTGTAAAACAAATCTTAACAGAATTCCATGGCTCCTCTAGATTAGATAGAGTATTGGGCAACAAGGGTAGAGTGTGTACTATTAGCACACAAAATGCTCTAGGCATGCAAGGAAGAGTCTGGAAGATATGTGCTTCTTAATATAGTTACATTGTGTTTTTATCAATGATTGACGTCACAAGGAATTTTGATTAACTTTTGATTAGTGTAAATGCATATACAGCATAAACGGGATTTTCCCCCACATTGTTTATGTATACGCTTGTAAATATATGCCTGTAAAGTTGGCTTTGAAATGCATTTACGATACGGTCGTGTAAGTGTATATGCTGGCTGTCGTGCGTAATTACGCTACGGTGCAGAGCACTACTAACTAAATGTCACTGAACTGAAACTTTTCTTTGTTTCGAATTTCAACAGCACAATGTGACACCATCACAATGGCGTAACCCCGACCAATGGCGCATTTCCACAGATCGAGCTCTGTTGTGTCTAGCCTCCACCGGAGCTCGGTGTAATCTCGTCCATCGCTCTTCTCTCTTATACTCTTCAAGGAGTGTAAGCGGGAGCAAGATGGCACGGCAGCCCAAAATACTCAAATCTCGTGAACTGCCTGCTTCAGAAGCAAAGTAAATCAAATCCCTCTCTGCTTTCACTAAACTGATTTGTAAAATTGATGATGCTGTTATGCTGTATCTCGCACATTCTATGTGGATCGCGTCGAAAGAAGTGGAAAGGCAAGATCAAGATGGCAAGAAAGTAAGTTGTGTAAGCTGCTCTGACACTCTCCATCCACCTGCCTGATCTTTCGACAGAGAAAATAGGAGTGCGCCGAGCGAAAGACTTAGTTTTGATGGTAAGTATCGAATTCGCCCCCACATCTATATCGTCTGACAGGTCTATCATTGATGCTTATCGATAAGTCGTCGCGATATTTGTAATAATCAAATCCTCCGAGAACATCTTCCCACCATCCACAGTCACCCTCTTGTAGCATTCTTCACCTTCTTTATGCTCTTCTTGTTCCTTCAGACTTCGTATCACTTCGCACAGAACTTCCCTCTGGTAAACCAATTCTTCGTGCTATTAAAGAACGTGCTAACCGAGCGAAAGAATAGGCCTAATCGACAAAGGCGACACAACAGAACAACCAGCCATTCGAGAACTAACTGAAAGATGAAACAGGTTTCAAAGCGGATGGCGTTATCGAATTGTCTCCTGCCGCCGTCAACTATCCTGACACACTACACCTCAGATTTATGCAATGCTGATTCACGTAGGAATGACGACAGCAAATATGGAACTTATTGTACTTAGTGTAACCTTCCCTGAAAAACTCGAACTTAGCGACGCTAAGATAGACGGAGGCGAACATATCACGAAACGCGTTCTGGAGCCCGCGAACTTATCTGATGAGTTGCTCCATACACATGTCTACTTGTTTTATGGATATATACACCCAACTATGACAACAACCTTCGTATTCCGTAAATTATGCTGGGAGGGCATAGTATTGTCAATATCGCACCTGTTCCGTCAATTCATAGCTGACCAAAACTTTTCTTTTTGAAATACGAATGATCTTGCATATGGAATTGCTAGTGATGCAAGATTATCACACTTTGCTTCCGGACTCCGCCTTGCCAATGGACTGTAAATCACGATTGGAATATTTTGTTTGGGTAGAAGGTGCGACAGGCGGAGTTCCATGCAGACTCGATTCGAACGAACAGTTCTATTATTGTAGAGTATATTGCATATTACATGGTATACAGAATAGGTGTATAACATTTCTGCCGTCGCACATTCATCGTTTCAGCGTTTGTGGCGTGGAGAGTTGACTGAGACCAGCCATCTTGACAGGTTATTGTTTCGTTTCACCTTGCATCATTTCTTTTGCTGTTTTATTGGATTTGCTTGTATTTTTGCTATGAGGCGTACTTACCATGTGTAAGGTTTTCCTGTGTTTTCTCATACTTTCAAATATGCAGACACAGTGACCATCTTCAGTTCAGTCGAACAGGCAATGTGTGCATGCTAGTGAAACAGTTCTTCCCAATCTTATTAGTGTCAGACACTCCATTTGTCAAAGTAGACAGATGTATGCATGTTGGTAACACCACAAGGATGCTGAGATTGAAATATATTCATAGTAGACATTATTTGGCAAGGTAGGTACCCTTATGGCGAAGAGACGATTAGAGGAACAATAAGTCCGAGTAAACCAATATTGACAAATTGATGTAGTTTTTCAGCTGACTCTTTCATACCTATCTTGAAGCCGAATGGTTCTGATATAATTAACCTATGCTTTGGCTTCAGTACAGTCCTTAAACGTATCACTGTGTGGAAGGCTCTCCCTATCAGCTCTAGTCATCTTCAGGTTATGTCTCGTGAAGTTTGACTGCACAGCTAACATATACCAGATAAATAAGTAACTTGATTGTAATAGATAGGCGCTAGGCAATACAAGA